TTCAATCATACTACTCTTCACCCTACACATTGGCTTCCCTTCTTCTTCTATAATACATTTAAACTCTTGCTCCTCACTTGACAAAAGGCATTTTCTGACATTGCTCTTAGCTACATCTCTTCTTTTATGTTATACAACTATTCCATTAGTCATGTTCTATCAGTTTGGCACACCTTGAAATTTCATTGGAGCTAAATTCCCACCTAAAGTGCATTCACACAGTTTCATTGACTGGAATAAAGCCTCTAGTCTGTGTCCCAGTGTTCTTGTGCAAGTCCCATCTCAATGGTAGTCAAACGTACAATAGCGACCTCCAATCCTATTCTTGTTTGGTGTCTGAGGGTCTGATCCAAACCCTCATCAAGCCCTTAATCCTTACATGTAATGAATAAATCCTCCAATCATTTATTCATCTGCACCGGCAGATTCTGGCCTAAAGCAATCACCAAAACTGTCTTAACACTCACTGGTAGCATAGAGCTAGTGTACATACTTCTATGCCAGCCTCACTTCCTGCTGCCAGGATGGGACTGGGATGCCCTTATGCTGCTCTGAACCACAGCTGCTAATACAGCTCCTTGTGATAATCGACAGTATAAATTGGAACGGTCATTGGCCCGTTTTGACCTTTTACTGAGATCTGATCTTGCTCACAGAGTAGCTGATCCAGTTTTGTTGAAGGCAATGGGAGTCTTCATTAATTTTATGGGGGATGGGACTGGCCTGGATTCTGCAACTTCAATAGCAAAAGAGCGATTGCAGAGCCGCTTGCCATCGTCTTTGAAAACTCATGGCGATTGGAAGAGATCCCAGATGACTGGAAAAGAGCACATATAGTGGCCATATTTAAGACATGGAAAAAGGAGGATCCAGTTAGCTTCACCTCAGTCGCTGGAAAAGTCATGGAGCAGGACCTCACAGAATGCATTGCTAAGTACTTAGGGGAAAAGAAGGTGATTAGAAACAGTCAGCATGGATTCACCAAGGGCAAGTCATGCCTGACCAATCCGATCGCCTTCTGTGATAAGATGATTGGCTCTGTCGATGTGGGGAGACCAGTGGATATGGTATACCTTGACTTTAGCAAGGTTTTTGATATGGTCTCCCACAACATTTTGTCAGGCAAGCTAAGGAATTACAAGTCGGATGAATAGACTGAAGGGGCATAGGAAACTGGCTGAAACATCGAACTCGGAGAGTAGTAGTCAATGGCTCGATGTCAAGTTGGCAGCCAATATTAAGTGGAATGCCCTAGGGGTCCGTTCTGGAGCTGGTTTTGTTCAATATCTTCATCAATGACCTGGAAGATGGCATAGAGTGCAGATGACACCAAGCCAGGGGGAGTTATAGATACACTGGTGGGTAGGCCTTGGATTCAGAAAGACCTCAACAAATTCGAGGATTGGACGAAAAGAAATCTCATGAGGTTCAACAAGGACAAGTGCAAATTCCTGCACTTAGGACGGAACAGTCCCATGCACTGGTACAGATTGGGGACTGTCTGGCTAAGCAGCAGCTCTGCAGAAAAGGACCTGGAGATTACAATGGCCAATAAGCTGAATATGAGCCAACAATATGCCCTTCTTGCCAAGAAGGCTAATGGCATACTGGGCTGCATTGGTGGGAATGTTGCCAGCAATCACTTTTGCAGTGACTGCTGACAACATAGTGATTATTCCCCACTATTCAGCACTGGTGAAGACACATCTGGAGTCCTGTGTCCAATTCTGGGCTCCCTGCTACAGAAAGGATGTGGACATGTGGACAAGTTGGAGAGAGTTCAGTGGAGGGCACTGAAAATGGTGAGGGGGCTGGGGGACGTGACTTAGGAAGAGAGACTGATGAAACTGGACTTATTTAGTCTGGAGGAGAGAAGACTGAGTGGGGCTTTAATAGCATCCTTCAACTATGTGGTTCCAAAGAGGATAAAGCTAGACTATTCTCAGTTGCAGAACAAGGAGCAATGGTTTCAAGTTGCAACAAGGGAAGTTTAGGTTAGATCTTAAGAAAATCTTTCTCACTAGGAGGGTAGTAAAACACTGGAACAGGTTACCCGGAGAGGTGGTGGAATTTCCATCCTCAGAGGTTTTTAAGACCTAGGTAGACAAAGCTTTGGCTGGGATAATATAGTTGGGGAGGGGCCTGCTTTGAGCAGAGGGTTGGACTAGATGACCTCCTGAGGTCCCTTCCAACGCTACTTTCCTATGATTCTAAGAGCATTTTCAACCCTGTCTGGCATTTGGTGTCTTGCATCTTTTTTCTTCATTTTGGCAGGGACCCAGGCAGAGCATTGATTTAAAGGCTATACCTCTATGCAGTTAAGAATCTGACTCTAATGACAGTAGCTCTGTATTCAAAGAAAGAAACCACTACCCTTCTGACAAATTAAAATACTAAGAAACTGCCAGTTTCCCTCATCAAATTTTCTTTTGTTTACAGATTTTGAAATAGATTTGAATTATGCTTTCTTTTTACAAAAAAAGCAGCAATAAATGAAGGTTGTCATTAACCAAGAACTAGCTGGTACTGAAAATTGTTTTTGACAATTGATTTGCACACTTTATCAGAATTTATCAAAACTGTATTTCCTTATTAATTATTAGCTAACTAATCAGCTTATAAGGGATGAAAAATGAAGCAAGAGGGCAGTTCTAGAAGGAATTGGAATAAAGTTCCTACTGAACAAGAGTCTGCTCTGATGCTTTCGTAGCAATCTAACCTTTTTAGCATGCTGGAGTTATATTTCTTTTAGATCAGTGGCCCAAGAGCTTTGATTAATGGAAAGATCCAAGAAATTAAATAATATAATAAGTTTTAAAAATCACTTACAGAGCAAATGGAACATTCTAGGCCATTAAGTGACGTTTTAAGCTCTTCTTTACTTTCTAAATTGGAAAAGATCTGTTCCGTAAAATGTCAACACAGGCATGAGGTACTGTGTTAGAATAAAAGCTCCATGATTGGCTTAGTTTTTATTTGTGCAAGTAGAGAAAATATCCTTAGATTACAGAATTTTAAAAATACGTTAGAGAATATCGTATTTTCTCACATATAGCACACCTGGGAATAAAATACAGGTCAGTCGCATCATACACACATTTAACTTGCGCGAATTCAACTATACGCGGGGTGGGAGGGGGTGGGGCTTGAGTTTGCACGTGGCACTGCCACTTCCCTGGGGCCCCATTATGGCGGTGACGGCCACTGCCTCCAAAACCTCCCGCTGTCGCCATGGAGCCGTGCCCGGAGCTGTGTGGCTGGCCGCCAGGCGGCAGCAGCAGCGTGGTGGTGGCCGGGTGGCACGAAGCCATCCCCACCACCACCCCGCACTGTGCCGCTGCCACCAGCCGCACAGCTCTAAGCATGGCACCGCATGCAAACTCAGGCCCCGCCCCCCCTCCCACTGTGCATATAGTCACCGATTTTCACCTTACGTGCTGACTTCAGCACCTAACCCCCACTTAAGATCTTTCCTGGTAGTAAGTAACGAAGTAAACTATTTAGGGAGCTGAACCCCTGAACACTGATTCTCTGCTAGTAGAATTGTCCCATGATATTCAGCTGTCCAGGTTGTATTTGTACAACATATATACAGTCTGTTATTGTGCTTAACCAGGAATTTGACAATCAAGGTCTGCCTTCTTTGTTGGTTCCTTAACATGTGCTTTGGCATTCTCTACCCTAGTCTTCCATAACGTTGCTTTCTCTAGGTCTCTAGAAAAATGTTCCTCGTGATAGTATCTTCACACATCATCTTGTGACAGTCCAGTGTTCTAGAAAAGAATACTGCTTCCTGTTAGTAGGACTGCTGACACCACACATTAAGCAAAATCTAGTTATCTGATAATGCCAAAATTTGTTCTTGATGAAAACAAGCTGCTCTGCTGTTTGTGCAATATTACAATCCTAATAAATTCACTGAGACAGATTTTACTGTTAGTTAATCCCATTCAGCTACAGGTGCCAGGAAAGGTTTTTAATTTTTTTAAATATATATATATTGTGACATGGAGAAAAATTAACATTGATTTAAAAGAAAAAAACAAACAAAACATCCAAGTCACGTGGATCCCTTGTTTATCCAAACTAGAATGTTAAAAGTAGATCAAACAAAATTCTGCAAAAAAATTCCTTCCCAGTTTCCTCTTGTACTTGTGCTGTTTTTTCTCTCCTTTTTTGGTGGATCTAGCCAAAGACCATGAATTTTGAATTTGTGGGATCTGAATTTGATACCCATGTGACAGAATTGTCAAAGAAGTATTTGAAAGAAGATTAGGTATCAATCTGGTACTTAGTAGGAAATAGATATGTTTATATAAAATATGTCAAATTTGAATGCTTTGTAATACTTGTATAATATTGTGTGTGTGTAAAATAAAAAAGCATGTTATATATGTATCAATAAAGGATTATACTATTTATTTAGAAGGTGAAACTTGCTAAGAATGGTTGAGTCTTACTCATCCGGTAAGTAGGTCACATAAGGCAGCAGTCAGCAGCCTATGGTTCACAGGCTGGATCCCACCCATAGCACTGAGGCTTTAGCAGTGGGGCCTTTGCCTATGCAGTACTGTACTGCGAGAGAAGTGGCAGGGAAAAGTGGTGGCAGCTGTGCCTTAGCGCCAGCTCACCTTTGACCCAAACTGAGTCATTGCAGCACATTGCTGGAAAAAGTTGCCATCCCTTAATGTAAGGTGTTACCTAACTCAGGTGGAAAAACATGGACTTAAGCACCTAAAGGTCATTTAAACCTTGTTTTGGCAACTAAGTTCAAAATAGCAGTACAAAGCCTTGCTGTTCAGCAGCTGCCTAAACTCACAAGAACCCTCTCTTAGGTGCCTGCAGTACTCCCTTCTGAGTACATGGAGTCCTGCCCAATCTCCTCTTAAATCCTCTCTAAATGCAGGAGTTAGGTAGAGCAGTACCTAAATGACCTACATGCATGCTCCAAGCTCATCCAGTGCACACCAGAACATTGAGTTTAACACAAAACATGACAGTCAACCACTTCCATTCAAAATCACTGGCAGGAGAGGCATCATAAGAATTGGAGGCCTAGTAGTCAAAACACTTTTCTAGGAAGTGGGCGATTTGGGTTTAAGGCCTCAAAGTGACTTCAAATCCTTATATCTTAAAAGAAGCTCTAATAACCAGGCAAAATGCTAGTCACAGGGGGAAACTCAGGATTAAGGTACACTTAATTTCTTATAACATGCACATCTCAATCATGCATGATAGCTTCTAAATGCCTCGACCCTTTTTTACCTAAGCACTAGAACATAAATCTATGCTGAAACACCTTGGACTTCACATACAGAAACAGTTATGGAGCACTTAGCTGAATCACATTAGAGAAAAGGTACCTAAATTCTGATTAAAAAGCAACTAGTGCACATAAATCTCTTTCTTAAATCTGGGTCCAGGCACTTAATAGCTAAGTACTGTGGTTCCTAAATCCTTCTCCGGTTCCTGGGTCTTACATGCTTCTTGTGTCTGTTTCAGAGGTTGAAGATGAATGGAAAGTTATTAAAGGAAAGTTTTTAGCTATCAATGCAGTAAATATGAGCTGTGCTTGTCCACGGAGTCCAAAAGGCCTATCACCAGCAGCTCACTTGGCTGACGGCTCTGCTGACCTCATTCTAGTTCGCAAATGCTCCAGATTTAATTTTCTGCGGTATCTTGTCAGACATACAAACCAGGATGATCAGGTATGTGTTTTCTTAGGGCTGTGATACAAACAAGGCATGTATGAGGTGAACGCATTGAATTTTTTACCTGGCACAAATTATCAGTGCTAGTACTGATTAGAAAAGACTGGATGATGTATTAGATAAAGTATTACAACCACATGTGCCCACCAGAAATCTCAGAATATTTCATATAAAACATGGTATCTTAACCAAATTCTGATTTTGATACTTAAATTAGTCCTTTCTAAAAATGTTTCTGTGGTTTCTGTTGGGCGCTGTTTAAAATCCTTTTTATCACAAAGTTCCTGCATGTGCACACAAGTCTGCCCATGTCACCAGATGCTAAAGAGCATTAGCTTCTGGGATGGAAAACTGCCTACAGCAGTATTATATAACTGTTCAACACAGGAAATGGGAGAATAATTCATTCATAAGAAACTAAATAAAGAACATAGCTTAACAGAACATAGTTATCAAAGTATAATCTGGTTATGGCAGATTTCCACAAGAACTTCGGTGATAGCAAGTAATCAACAATGAGTTATATATCCTACACCAAAATTCCTCCTGTGCCGCTACACCTGTTTAGAATGAATTCCAAGAGCAATGAACATGTTTTTTGTAGCACTTAGGTTCTGCTGAATTAGCTGTAGCTGCTGGCGTGCTCATTAACTGATATGATTGCTAGACATTCAGTTTTAATGCTACGTGTTCTGATGACTGAATGAAGAACAGATCAACGATGTGCCTTATTATAAAAAAATTCAAATAATTCCACCTGTTTGTGGTTTTCACTCCTCTTTCCACCATAGTTTAATAGCTACTATTACATACTCCTGTATTGCCTCATACCAAACCCTGGAACATAATTGTGTATGATTTTTATTTTGTCCATTCTCTATCTCCCCCTTTCTGTTTTCATTTGCTTTTTTTGCTTATCTCACATTTTGTCTTTGATTTATATTTTTAACAATTTTACTCCTTACCTGGTGGTTATCCCTTATTCCATCACTTATCAGAAGGCTACATAGTGCTCAAGCATGCACTGGTGGCTTTGTGGGGTCATGGAGACAAGCTTATAGAACTAAGTCTCTTGATCTAGCAAACTACTTTCTGAGCCCTGTGTGCATGAGCTCCACTGGAGCTTGATCAGTTTATTAAAGGGTGTCTATGATTTGGTTGCCTGTGGTAGCAGACAACCAAATTCAGTGATGCAGAAGGACCTTTCCAGTCCTAAGTCTGTAAGAACCACAGCATGAGCAGGAGGTGAGTGCAAGTTGTAAGCTGCCACCATCTTCCTTACAGAAACCGTTTTTCCTTGGGGGGGGTCAGAATGACTCTAGGGTCAGACAGTTATCCCCAGCACTCTGTCCTTTCTACTGCCAGACCCAGAAGATTATGTCCAGGAGCACTTTCCAGTTGTCTCCTCTGCTGTGCTGTCCCTGGATTAGTCTAGCACCCTCTGGCCGCACCTATATGAGATGCTAACTGTGCAATAGCTTGGTACTACTGTGTAGTGGCATCGCTGGGCATGAACTGTTACATGATGCTACTGCACAGTAGGAATGAGTGACTGCACAGTCAGCGTTGCCACAAAGCCGTGCGGGGACACTACTGCACAGTAGTTCTGGTTACTCTGCAGTCGTTTGGTACTTGGGTATGCAACTACTAAATAACTGCAGTAACAACTGCGCAGTCAACATCTCATGTAGATGCAGCTTCTTATTGGGTAACACTGAATTAGGTGCTCAGATGCCATGCTGATGAGCATGATATAAAACCTGAGAGAAATGGATTTAAATTAAACCTCTTGAGTTGCCTGTATTTTGGTATAAGTATAGACAGTAATATTATATATTATGATATTTGCTAGTGTTTACATGTTTAGCTATTCCTGTGCTCACTTTTTTGTTTTCGTAACTCTTTGTCAGTTATCAAGTTGAGTCATACCTTATTATGGCTTTTTAAGCATTTTAGGCTAATTCTTTAAGTTGCCTTTTGTGATATGAGGGTACCTAGCAACTTGATTTGTCCTTGGTGTACAAAGCTTATTTTAAAGCACTTTAGACACTTTTACAATCTCAATGTAATCATGTTAGTCTTTGATAATTGGGGCATTTGTAATTACAATGCTAGTTTCCACTGGGGTTACCTAGTTAAGAAGGTGCGACTCCACTGGAGCATATTATTAGCTCTCCACACTCCCCAGATCCTGATAGCGGGATGATACTGCCATGGACTTCTCTGGATAAAGCCTACTCATGAAAATCCTACAGCAGAGAGGGAGGGGGCTTGCAGAAATGGGATTTCAGAGAATTCAGTGCATAAGAATTGGAGAACAATAAATAAGTTAGTAGAGCAATGAATCTCAACCCCCTTGTGACCATATCATACAACATAAAACAGTTTTGGGACCCTTCTCATCCATAGTTTCAAAACTTTTCCCCAGTTTATCCATAGAGATAGGATGTTGCAGCCTTGCAACAACTGGTAGCCATTTGAGGTTAGAGGTGTTTTAGAGGTGAAGCAAAGGACTGGAAAGTAGGACATCCTGTATTTTTACTGTGAAATTAAATAATGAGTGTTGTGTAATTTTTTTAAAAAATCACTATTCCTATATTAACCTAGGTGAAAAATTTGAGTAGAAAAACATCACTGAAAACTTTCTGTTATAAAAGTCCTTTTTTAATTCCTCTTTGCAGTTTGACTTCCCATTTGTAGATGTTTATCGGGTGAAGAGGTTTCAGTTTACATCAAAGCACTTGGAAGACAATGAAAGTGATATCAAGGATGTAGGAAAGAAACGTTTTGGTCAGTTCTGCAGTGATCATCCAGCCTGTTGCTGCAATCTGGCTAACAGCACCTGGAACTGTGATGGTGAAACGTTGGATAGTTCAGCTGTTGAAGTCAGGTGAGTATTTGCCTTTCCCTCCATATACAGTATGTAGCAAGAGGATCATGTTAAGATATTTAAAGTCCTGTCTTTGAAGTTTTAAAAAGTGACTATGTAACATTTGACAGCTACTAAAAAGGTTTTGTGGGGGGGTTTTAAGGCATAAAATGTTTTTAAAATCAGGTATTATACTGGAACATTTAAACATGTCCCTTATATACTAGAGAATTCATTAAATTGTATGTAAAAGCAGAATCAGATCAAATCCTAACAAGAATTTCAGTGAATGGGTGGTAATTTCAGGTTGTCTTATGGGCCTACTTGACTAATAAGTAAAATTGAATGAAAATGTGCCTAAACAGAACTGATCAGAAAAGATGATTCCAGTCCTCTCTCTCTGTTTCACATAAAACCTTATAGGGTTATTAGTAACTTCCACCATACCTAGGATTTGACAAAAAGGATACAAAAAGCACTGTCAGTCCTCACAGTGGGTTAGTGGATACTAAGTCCACTCATCAATCAAAGCTAGTTAAACCTTTAGAAAGTTATATAATATTTGCATAGACAAATCCTTATATTAATTATTTAATGCCATATTTTCAGTCATAGAAATATCTTAAGACATGTTTTTGGTTCTATATTTGTATGCTTCAAATATGCCTCATTTTGAGATTATTCATAATTAAATCTGGTAGGAGCGGGAGTATTGGAAAGTAGGAGATTGTTTTTTAAATTGGTAAAAGGAACCAGAAATGCAGAGGTCTTTTCATAAAATATCTCCATTAAACAAGAATCATGTATTGTTTCATTAATGACTTTTATAAAAGGTTGTGATCTATCAAATTCATCTACTTGCAAGACTCCCATAGACTCCTCGCTGGGCAGCACAGTGCGGTGTGAACATGCTATTCCACCATTCAGCTGTTTTTTCCACTTTCTATATTGCTCCCATTTACAGAGAGTTATGTGGCCTGCAGAGTAGCCCTTTTTGTCCAGGTGCTTAGAATGCCCAGTGAATCCATATTAGGACATACAAAATGCGGATCCTTGTTAGTAAAAGAGATTTCAAATAACTGTTTGGTTTTGTCTTGTTTTGCTTTTGCAGGGTTCGTTGTCAGTTAGTAAAACTCTTTGCAAGAGGAATAGAGATCTATAAAGATGAAGCTGCTTACAACTCGAGTTCAAATGAACTATTATCATAGATATCCTTCCATGCCGTTAAAAAGTTTGTTATTATGAGTAAATATGCATTTCAACCATTGTTATAAATATTTTAAAATTGGAAATTATTTTTGATGTTTACAGTATAATTTTAGAAATATTTTATTCCACCTACCTACTTTTTAAGGATTATAATTTTCTGTGCATCATCAGGTTATAGTTCGGAGTAGCTTAATCTGAATTATGTGTGGTAGGAAGGAAGAATTGACTTACATTTTACAATGACTGATGTCCAGTGTATTTTTAAAAGAGAATTTAATGGATGTGCTACAATAATAAGTAGGTGTTATGAAGTATTGTACTTAGCATTGAAAACATGATTGGAGTAGATCAAAATGAGGCCTCTGTAGTGTCAATTGGACAAGGCCACTTTGATAGAATTATTCTATAAATGCATGTGATTAAATCCTGGAGGGTAATAACATAATGTCATTCATTTTACCTTTTTTTTTTTTTGGTAAAATTTGATAAAATGCATTATATTATTCGGACTATACCTTGCAACTTATCAATGCAATTCAAATATACATTCCTGGCTTTAAATAATAATTTTAATAGTTTTAGAAATATTTTAGTAAATACAAAGCACATCTGTATATAGATCATATTTTATTTTACATAGGGTATTTATAAAAGCTCCCTTGCATGTTCCTCTGTAACATTTTAAATGGGTTTTATGAACTGTCTGGACATTACCAAATATATAAACTGCAGCAGATAAATCATGGGAGCAGCTTACAAGGGCATTTTATAATACCAGAAAGCCACAGGCAAGGGAAAGATTATAAATATATTATAAAGCACCAGCAAGTTTTAAATTTTTAAAAATATTCAAAAAGCATATACAAAAATCTTCCCTCTTCAGGAATGACAATGGCACAGTCCTTTGGAGATTCTATTTACAAGGTGAAATGTCTTCAAAATAAGGTGTCAGTATGTTCATCTTAAATATGTAACTTGATTGACTCCAAGGTTTTTACATACTTTTAAAGTTAGGTCTAGAAATAGGATAGCATGATGTGAAGTCATAGGAAGAAACTGGCATTTGAGAATTCACGAATTAGTCTCTTAACTGTTTGCTGTTTGTAGCAAAGAAAATGGACTATCCTGAACAGAAATGTGGCAACTATTTAAATATATATATTTAGTTTGTGTATTGTAACACTCCTGTGCTCTGTGTAGATTTGGGGCCAGATTCTGCCCTATTATGACAGGTTACACCTCTGTAATAGAGATAAGAATTTAGCACCCTTTATCTATGCTGCATTTTGCTGACTGTATTCTTTGCTTTAAAAGGTTCCATGTCTTTTGTTTTGTGTCTGAATAACTAACAGTACTGTATTTACATATATTTATTGAAATTTATGTTGTACTGTTTTTCTCCCATCTGTTTGTTTTGTCTAAACCTTGATAACTGTTCATTTTATTGCTAAAGCACTTGAAAGAACAGTTATCTTAGATGGTTGCTTTTTTCGTTGAAGATATTTACATTCAAGTCAATGTGTAATTACTAATGGTGTGCTGTATCATCACTACACTCTTCTCCTGCTGTATATCATAACATTTATACAAAGTAATTTCATTTAAAAATACAATACCATAGAGCTTAGGATCTATTTTTCATTATGTACTGTCAGAAAAATACTTGAAGATTTTTTCTAAAAGTTGTGCTATTTTATCCTGTTTTGCAGTGGAATGAGTTGGAACATTGATTGGACCAAGGTTGTTCACACATATTTAACTTTAAAATCTTATTTACATTTTATTTTTCAAACCACATTTACAAAGCGTAGCACAATAGTTTGAAGTAAATACCTCTCTGAAAATACTGTTATCCTATTTACAAAAATAAGTATTTTATAAAGGCATTAAGTCTGTGTGAAAGCTGTCAGTCCAGTTCAGTGATAGGCTTGTAGAGGGAAACCATGCTCAAGTTCTTTTGAACCGTGGGCAGGCAGAGGCTCACCAGCTGGCTCACCAGTACTGTAGATGTGGCACATTCAGTTCACCAGCAGATACACTGCGGCATCTAGTCGTAGTTGGTTAGGAGCATTTTCTAGGAACTTACGGATGAGTATTATCTAGCTGTCCCAGGTAGTTTCTTAACTCAGGTAAGAGGTTCAAATACAGGCAAAGCAAGGATAGATAGGTAAAATCCCTTAAACCTGTCATGAATATTCATTGCAACTCTTTTAGGAACTCCTACTGCCTGAATCTGTTTGTGGTGTTTCCAAAAGAACTCCATTCTAAAGGACCTTATTACAAGGAATAAAGAAGTTGCATACTATAGAAAGTAAATATTTGCGCTAGTGCAACATAGGAAAGAGTTCAATAACTGACAAGCTATGTAGTTGCAGCTGAATATTTTTCCTTGTAGCATATTACATTAGCGAAGAACTATATATAATTATTTGACATCTTTTGGTTTAGAAAAAAATCTGTGTAAGTACTGTCTGCTTGTATCATGATTCATAGTAGAATAGGACTCTTTCTCTCACAAAAGACAGTCTCAATGTAGAAATTATGGACGGAAAAACTAATAGGTTTTAATCTTGCTGGTTTCAAGATTAGAAAAATACATTGTCTTGTGATCATGTGAAGCCCTCTGAAAAATAAAGGAATATTATACATAATATGGCTTGTTTTCTTTTTTCATGAATTGGTGCTAAACAACCCTATTGTCTCCACAGATTAGAGCCTGATCTGCCTTTGTAATATTGATACCCATGCTCTTCAGCAATTTTGATCTACAGAGCCGATCTTCAAAATAGGGAATAGCTTGTATGTTAAAGGAGTAACTGAAAAACACATTCTTTTGACCCATCCAGATAATCTTATTCTTCATAAAGTGCCTGTAACAATAGCTCTATATTCCAGGTTTGTGAAAGCCGGAGCTAACTGACAGTAATGTAGGCAGGAATAGCTAAATATCGAAGGAATTAATAGGCTTCAGTGAGGGTGATTTGGAGTCAAAGTAACAGGTAGGATTATATTAACATGCAGCATGTTTGATGAAAAGCAACAAGTATGGGAGAGAGTACATTGTTCTTTACTGCCAATGGAGACACTGTTTGGAAAAAGAGGAACAGAGAGCTGGCAAATTTGTAAGCCAGTGTCATGTATGGGAGCATCCCTGAGTTTACAACCATATTTGCTAATGTATGTAATATTGTCAACAAAAATTTAATTCTGGTTCATATTTTGTAAACACCTGACATCTCCTAATCTTAGCCATTAATATCTCAGAGTCCCATTTGTGAGCTGAAACATATTTGTTATAGGACATTAATATATAATATATGCCTTAAAATTATTGTAGTGATGATGCTCCTGCATAGAAACCATCAGGAACAGGGTTAATTTCCAGATAATGCAGCACCTGGATCATTTGCTGATTAATGTTGCATCCAGTGATTAACTGACAATAGGGATGCTCAACCCCTGGCCCATGGCACCATGTCATCTGGCCCATGGGGCTCTCTAGGGATCCAGAAATTTGGTGGTGGAGGAGCAGTGGCACTGCACTCTGCACAGAGTCCCTGGTCCCAGTGCTCAGGGCCAGGTAGGGCTGGTGCTGGGAACCCATGGCCTAATCTCAGTGTGGGAGGCTGGGAAGGGGTGGTGCCAAGCCCTTAGGGCTCAATCATTGTGCATGAGAGGCGGAAGGGGGTAGTGCCAGGTTCCTGGGACCCAATCCCAGCATGTGGGACAGAAAAATGTGGTGATGGGCCCAGGGCCCAATACAGTCTGTGGATAGGCCACACACCACTTACCTGGCCCATAGAGCTAAACAGTAGAGCACTACTCAGCTACAGGACTTACTAGTAGCCAAATTGATTTACCATGAAATGAAAAATAAGTACTGGCCATTTTCAAGGAGCCTAGGCCAAGCTGCAGAAGTGCAGCTAAGCAGAAGGCCCCCAAAGCTTATTTCTGAGTGACTGTAGCATGAACCTTTGCAGATGTGGCAACTAGCTTGGCCAGCAAAGTAAAGAAAGCCATCTACATGTCTGATTAAACACAGCACAAGGCCTAAAAGGAGACATTATAAAGGAAGACCATAACTTTATCCGTGTATACTATATCATAGCTTTACTTTAAAATATTAGTAATATTTTACTAAAGGCACCCCTCGGTGCCTTTAGTAAGGCTGAAGGCACCCCTCGGAATATGTCAGCACTTGGTTGACTGAAGGCACCCCTCGGAATATGTCAACACTTGGTTTTTCACTAGACCAATTCTTCTGTTGCAAAGAACTCAGAAATACCACAACAGGTCAAAATGTTTTTAACATTATGGATTCCTACTGGAAGCCAAGTTTATCTCGTCAATTGTGTTTGTACACCTAACAACATTAACATTGTGTGGCACCCTGCAACACCCTTGAAAGGATCTCAAGACACCCCTGAGTAGTGCAGCACCCTGGTTGAGAATCAGTGGTCTATGCTATGCTGTTGTAAATTAGATCTAAGTCCAGTCACTACACTTTGCAGTAAATTTGGACTGAAACAAAGCAGCATTCTCCCTAAATTCCTGTCTCAGTGACAGCAATAAACCCACCGCACATCCCAGAGAGACTGATGTAGGGTATTAAGTAGGTATGAACCTTATTCCATTGGTGTCAATTGGTACAGCTAGGGCTGTACAACCAGCCCTGGACTTTAGGTGCTGTGCTTTGCAATGCCAGTGTTCTTTTAACATTTTTGTACTGGTTTTTCTACCTACAGAAAACAACTCATCAAAAAGAACAACTGATTCAACAGCAATAGACTACTGTGTACTGCAAGACAGACACAATCCTACATAACCCTTCCCTCAGGAAAAATGCAATTTGCTCCTATAGAGCTGAGTCTTAGTGTTGTGCACTGGTGGGGACTGCTTCATTCCTTTCAATATGCCCCTTTAAGCACTGTGTATAATGAGGTAGCATGTGTATAAACTGGAAGAATTTTAGCAGACCAGAGTAGGAAAGAAACTTAAGGAAATGGGGAAAACAGAATTAGGTAAAAGTGGGAGAGACAGAATAGAGACACAAAATAGTCACTGGAGACAAAAATAGGACTTTGTTAAACAAATAAACAACAATTTAAAATCTGTTAAGAGAAGAAAATATAATGAACGAAAGTAAAGGAGCAAATGAAAACGAAGCAAAAACTTGGTAAGGATTTTGTATTTTGCTGAAGAGCCTTTAGTGAAGTACACGGAGATACTTATAGGTACTGAAAGGCTAGCACTATACATTTACAGTTGATGACTGCTTTGCATCCATCATAACTGGCATCAGATGAAAGAGGTAACAGCATCAGATCAGCTGTTTCCAAGATAAATTGCTAACAGCATACCTGGCCAACCCAGCCTCAGCTACCTGAATCTCCACACAGGAAAGGTAGTAAAGGCCATCCTGCCTGAAGAAAAGTTTAGGTGCACAGCCACTTAGCTAGACCTCAAAGACTTTGGGTTAACTAGCTATTGCTGTTTTTGTTTTTATCCACTAAGTTTTCTCCATTTTCATTTCTTAGTTAGCTTTGTCTGCTTTAGCGTTAGCAAAAATATGCAACAAACAAGACACAGGGAAGGCCAACTGGAGTCTAGTGGCACACTAGTAGGGGAATGAAACAAAGTTATGGCAGTTTACACCACCTGAAGATTTGCACCATGGACCAGGTGGTATCACCAGAACACAATGTGGACAACACACTAACTAGCACAGGCAAACAAGGCCGAAGTTTGCCTGTTTGCCTGCCTAGGTTAGAGTCTAGACCACCAAAGTGAACCTATAAAATGATGCTTGTTATTTGCATGGGTGCAGCAGAAATAACAGCAATGTGCATAGCGCCTTCAAATAGATACTGTTTGTTCCTCCTTGAACCATATTTTTGATGTGTGCTGTGCCACTTTGGGTTATAACTGCTGACAAGTTCTCATCATATAGCCATGCTGTCCACGGCCCAAAGGTCCCCTCCTTACAGATGTGAGAGTACTTGATAGCATAAAGGGCCCTACAGGCATTCCCCTACTAGTGTTGGGGATTTGCTCAAGTACTGTGATTTACTCAAGTTTACAGGCTGAATGATTGCAGCTTGGTTTTCCTTACCTTCCTGTGAGGAATCTGAATGCTCCAGAATTAGCCAATCCTCTAGTTAGAACTGGAATATACCTGCTCTGAATCTATACCAGTATTTTCTTTAGTACTTAATAATACCCAGTCTTTGGGGGGCAAGGAGGTGCTGAGGAGGCACAGAGTCTCCCCCATATCTCATTGCACTTGAAATACAATTTCTGTGTGAGGCCAGTGCAGCTGGAACTCACTTCTCCAAAAGACCCAGAAGAGGCTGTGGGGAAAGTTGGCTGCTGCTTCCCAAGCGCTCTTTATGGGAACTGCTTCAGTGCAATGAGGTGAATGCTACACCCTGCAAAAAGAATGGCAGAGTGGCCCTTGTATTCCCAGAGCTTCAGGAGACAGCATGCCTTCCTCAAACACAATCCTTGACAGAGTTTCAGTGTGCTGATCAGCAGTTGCATACCCCTCAGCACAAGAAAGTGCTATAAAGGGACACTAGAATCTTTTTCAGCCTAACATTGCAACTGAATGAAATCAAAATTAAAAAAAAAATAGATCTGGAAGGGACCTGCAGAGGTCAGCTAGTCTAAGCCCTTACTGGGAAGCAGATTTATCTCTGTCTAAACCACCTAGTCAAGTATTTATATAACCTACCCTTAAAAACTTCCACTGACAGAGCTTTCACAGTCTCTCTAGGTAATCTGTTTCAGTGCTTAACCAGCCTAGCATAGCCAAAATGTTCTTCTAATATCCAACCTAAATTTAAGACTGTTACTTCTTTTCCTGGCCCTGTGGACACCAAGACTGTTCTATCACCATCCTCTATATGTATTTAAAAACTGCTATATCAAATCCCACTTTAGTCTTCTCTTCCACAGGCTACGTAATCCCAGTTCTTCCAAACTTTCCTTGTCAGTCATGTTTCCTAGACTTCCAATCACTTGTTGCTCCTTGCTAGACTCTTTCTAATTTCTCCAAGTCTTTCTTGAAATATGGATCCCAACACTAGATACAGTTCTCCAGGTAAGGCCTCACCACTGCTCAGTAGAGTAGACAAGGGCTGTTCCACTTCTGAGTGACTGCAGGGCCCTGGGGCCTCTGGCCACACCTCATGGGCTGCACACCTCCCAAGCTGCATGCTACGTGGGGCACATGCCAGGGTCAACCCATCACACCATGGTTACCCCCCCTGCAACACAGGCACGCCCCCCCAGCACCATGGGCATGCATGCTCCCCAGTGTACCATCTCAGCACCTTGCGTACTGCACCATATCCCCCCCACTGTGCTACATAGCAGGTGCTCTGCTGTAATGTGCCAGTGTCCTATGCTGTGCCAGTGTCCTATGCTGTGCCACACAAGATCTCTGGCTCTCCCTGAGCCATCCAGGCATCGGCTCCTTCAGCCTCGCCTTCAGAGACAGGGTCAGGAAGCAGAAACTGAAGAAGAGAGGGGGAGCCTAGAGACTGGCAGCAATAGTCACCAGAGTGGTGCAAGGAATCGTGACCAGCCTGGGACCCACAGCTCCCTCAGGGCTACACGCAGCATACAGGCCAGCAG